GAGAGAGAGGTGGCTTGGGTTGAGTTCAATGGTGATTTTAGAAAGAGAGAGATATGCCTTTTTTTTTGGGAGTTTTTTTAGAGAAAGAAATCGTAATAAGAGAGAACAATGCAACTCTTGGATGAAACTCTAAATTTCATAGAAAATTTAATAGAGGGAACAATTGAGTTTATGTTTATTTGTGAATGTATATATTTTTTTTGTTATTTGATAAAATTTATGTTGGGTTCATGTGACCTTATGAGTACTTGTAAAATGAAATGATATAATGGAACATAAACTCAATAGGAGTGTGGTCCGGCGTGGACCATACTAAGCAAACGATGGTTTGCTGATACAGATCTGTGCTTAACGATATAGGCAAGTCGGTTGGAAAAAACCCATGTTACCTTGGCATGAAGAACAAACCGATGAGGGTTTATGGGCTAGCCCTTGATGAGGTCAGAGAATATGCCAGGATGAGTGAGCCGAGGGACTGTGTGGCCCTTGATGAGGTCGGAGAACATGCCCGGATAAGTGAGCCGAGGGACTGTGTGGCCCTTGATGAGGTCGGAGAACATGCTCGGTTGAGTGAGCCGAGGGACTGTGTGACCCTTGTGTATGATGGTGGCCTATAGAGACCGGTGTCAAAGCCTCATCTATGTGCCATCACAAGGTATACATATCGATAGATCATTCGGGAAAACTAGAAATCCACCTTTTAGGATGAAGCGTATGCATGTGCGAAAGAAATCCCTATGCACCATAGGAGCTATGGTCGCATCAGATCTAGGTGACTTTGACTCGTCTCTAGGGGAGGACTTGAAATCCACAAACTGGGATTACGATCCCTTAGCTCATTGGTCGAACTTTGGTGACCTGCTAATGAGCCCCTGCTTGGACTGTGGGTCATGGGAAACACTGGGTCGGTCTGATAAAGTAAGTGTGATCTGTAGTCCACAGTTGAAGGTGGAGTGCCCCATGATTGTTGATTCCTAAACCATATGAATCATTTTCCCATCAAATTAATTTAATTGTATTTGTTTTATGATGAAAATTATTTTAAGATTATTATTTGAATTTTTATGAACCTCTGGATATTTTATTTATAATTTTTGGATTTATAAAATTAAATATATTGATTTTACAATTGTTTAAATATTCAAATAATATTTTAAAATCATTTTATTAATTTTAAATATATAAAAATATCATGGGGGCCCATTCTGCACATGGGCCCACCATATTTTTAGAAGATGGGGCCCATGAGTGCCTCCTTTGGGTGACATGCCTCACCCTTATTCTCTTTCCTATTTTTGGCGATATGACATGTGGCCATATGGTTGGAAGATATTGACTAAATATTGACTTGACATATCTTTGAAAGATTTTGTGAAAAGATTGAGTCAAAGATATATCTTTGAAATCTAATTAAATCTAATTAAATCTCTCACCCCACAAGGCACCATCGATCGACAGTCTATGTTTAATCTCACAAGAAGAGGCAAGCCAAAGAAAACCCTAAGAAACCATAATCTTATTCAAAGCCTATAAAAAGAGATTGTCTCTACCAAAAAATCTATACACCTTATCTTTCTATCTCTCTCTTAATAAAGTTTATTTCTCTCATGTCTGATCTCTCTCTCCCACATTGTGAAAGAACCTAAGGGGTTAGTTTATGTAGTTATTCTCTCCTATTTCTCAAATATGGATTTATGGCTGAGGGTTTTAAGGTTTAGCAATAAGAGAATCCATCTCTCTCAAACTAGATTGCTAAGAGAATTCACCTAGGGTTTGAGTTTGTGATCAAAATAGTTCATGTTCCATTGGTGTGGCTTGGCCGAAATTTACTTTCCCGGTTCAAGATTGAAGCTAGACCATTGATCCCGTGCCATCGGATGGTAGTGACTCGGTGTGAGGTGTAATAAGCCTAGTTGAGGTAATCTCCAGCACTCTTCATTTTGTTTCTTACAATCTTATCTTTTATTCTCAAGCATAATGCATAGTTGTTTCAATGGCATCAAGTTGTTAAGATCTTAGTTTTATTGTTATGTTGATTTTATTTTGAAATTTATCTCATTATAATAAAGACCACTTGTAAGTGATCTTTTGCCAAAAGAAAGGGGTGAATAGAAAAAAAAATAAACAAAAATATTCCCCAGTAAGTGATCACATAGGTCTTTCTTTCAATTTCATGAGTTTATGTTTATTCGTGAATATATATATTTTTTCTGTTATTTGATAAAATTTCAATTGTTCTACATGCATTGCACGCAATATGAATGAACCGATTTTAATGGACCAGTCCAGTGTTCACAAAATTGAACCGGAGCGATTAACCAGACATGGGGTTGAGAGCGGTTTGAACTGGAACCGGACTAACCAGTCAGGTAGATTTTTTTTAACAAAAGGGTAAAAAACTCCCAATTTTTTTTGTTAAAAATAGAAATACTTAGATTAAGTGTATAATATCTTATTATATATATATATATTTATTTATTTATTTATCTTACAAAGAAAATTTTGAAACAACTTTTTATAAAGTAATATTCGAATACTATAGTCTTGTACATGAAAATATATGAAGATATTTTTGTCATGTAACGTTTTTCAAGAATTAACATATTTATCCCAAACGTTACATGAAATTTTTTTTTTTTTGCAAAAATTGCTCACATTAGGAATGAAAGGTTATGCAATTTTTTTTGCAAATAATAAAAGTACCTCGATGCTATTAATGAAATAAAAATGCCAACTAATTCAGATAAGCAATAAAAATAAAGCATAATTCATACAATATTTTTTCGATGAAGTTAAATAAGGCATGCTTCACAAAAAGTACATCTCATGATATGCAACAAAACGAAAAATCAATGCACAACACAATGATATGTTCTACTGTTCTTATATGTATCTATCATATCCATATCAGTGTGTTGTGCATTGATTTTATCAAAAAATAAGAACAATAGAGCAAATAATTTGATCAAAAAATAATTTTATTAAGCAAAATAGAAACACAGTTCCCATATTTAGCATAAAACATATTTTATTAAAAAACCATAATTTTATTAAAAAAAAATTTACTAAGCAAAATGGAAAACCACTTCCCATATTCATCATAAAACATAATTTTATTAAAAAACCATAATTTTATCAAAAAATAATTTAATTAAGCAAAATTGAAAAGCAATTCCCATATTCATCAAAAAACATAATTTTTTTATTAAAAAACATAATTTTGTTTGAAAGATAATTTTATGAAGCAATATAGAAAAAAAACTTTCCATATTGACAAAAAACATGATTTCCCTGAGCAAAATGATTTTTTTTCTAGAAAAATCAATTTATAAAATGAGGGATGATTTGAAATTAAGATCACTTTTGTAAAACTCTCTATCTCTCTTTGTAGAATTGAGCCATATTGGGATTGGCCAGTGATCGATCCTAAGTTAGATGGCCGATTTTTTAAAAATTAGCTGATCTTTTAAAGACTCTTTCCATAACATTAAAAAAACCTTGATAGAAAATGAAACAAAAAAAAAAAAAAAAGAAAAAAGAGAAGAACCAAGCACATATATGAAAGTGTAGCCTTTCATTGAACATAAGGCAACACAAATTTTTACATGGACTTAAAAAAGCAAAATATCTCACTTCCATCATTACAAATATAACTATATCAACTTAAAAAAATATAATTAAAAAAATCGAGAGACATTATCATGCACTTTTAAAAAAGAAAGAACAATTTCATCAAAAAAATAATTTTATCAAAAGAATAATTTTATTAAGCAAAATAGAAAAACAATTCCTATATTCATCAAACAACATAATATTATTAAAAAATCATAATTATATTAAAAATAATTTATTTAGAAAAATAGAAAAACACTTCCCAATTTCATCAAAAAACATAATTTTCTTAAACATCTTTCTAAGAAAATCTCTAAGAAAACATCTTTCTAAGAAACATCTTTCTCAAAAAACATCTTTCTAAGAAAATCGACTTTTCAAAAACCCAAAAAATGAAGCAACATTTCGATCAACAAACGACCCTCAATGTTTGAATAATTAAACAAAGGAGCATACATACATTGTAAAAGCTTCAATCATCTTTCAAACGTACTAAATATTGTTAAAAAATATTCGGTATTTTTAATTTAATTGAAGAAAAGGCGAAAATTTCAGATCTATGAAATTTTCATGATATGGTGCAATGAAAAAATTCATATAAAAAAAATTATTTAATCATAAATAAACATGCCAATTTTATTTGAGATATGAAGCCCCAATGATCAAAATCCACAACTGAATTTGATAAAAAAAAACTAATAAATGGACCAAAAATCTGTGTTTTTGGGTAGAACACAGGTTCTCGGAGAAGCAGCTTTTTGGGCAAAAATAAACCCATGATTTTTTGTTTTATGAACAAATTAAAATTTGAATCTAGTAAATACTTCGAATAGCAATCAAACTGCTCAAATTTCTTTAAGAACCATTAGGTATTGAGGAGATTATTGAAATAATGGCCGAAATTTTAAAAAACCTAAAATATCCACCATTTCAATCCAAGAAACTCTTTTTTTTTTAATGTTTAAATCCAAATTACTTGTTTTATATTTATTACATAGTGATTTAAACCATTAAAACATGAAAAAAAACCAAAAAATGACCGCAAACTGAATAAAACAAGGAGAAGAATTGGATTCACACTTTTCCTACTACATATAACGGTTTGTATTTCAAAATAACATCGTTATCGATAAATTACCGTTATTTACTCTAAAATGCCATTATATCGATGAATCGGTCCGATTAGCTGAAAACCAGCCGGTTTTAATAAAATATCGTCAGTTCGACATCAAATCGATTGATTTTGATACCGATTCTTTTTTAAAGAGGGCCGTCTATTAAGTAGTATTGCAAAACCGGCTTTAACCGGAGTGCAGCGGGTTCCGGTTCGGACTGTTCGGCACTACGCTACACTACATAATAACTTCCCGTAGTCGTTTGCACATGGAAGGTGGTACCCGTGCAACAAATGCATTGAGATGATAAACCCTTCTGAATCCCAGAGTTCATAGCTCGGTGCCTCCATTCCCGCCCTCTCATTCGCACCAGCCTCCTCTCCAGGGCTGCCTCTCTCTCAAGCCATGTCCTCTCAACCATTTAAACCACTTCCACTCTCCTCCATTCTCACCCAAAACTTAACCCACCCATTGCTATTAAACCTTTCTCCATCTCTCAACCAACTGAATTTCTTCACCTCTCAAAGGAGACTCTCTCACAGGAGGATCCATCTCCGTGCTTCTGCTTCCAACGAAAATGGTAAAAATGACAACCCACTAAGAAATTTTTCTTGGGAGAAAATAAGCCAGGGCGTTTCTCGAGGCTCCAAGCGCTTGTTCTCGAATTTCGGCAAGCAGCTCAAAGAAGAAACTGGTTTCGATGTGGAGGCGGCTAACTCTAGGGTAAATGGGTTTATGGAGAGATTTTCGAAAGCTAAAGAGCGAGGGAATGTGGTACTCGAGAGGTTGAGGGTGGAGTGGTTTCCACAGTTTATTGAGTGGAATAAATGGGATAATTGGAAGGTAATCTTTTTTCTGTTAATAATCAAGTTTATTGTTTTGACTGAATGATTCAAAGGTATGTTCGCATTTTTTATTTGAATCAAGATGTTTTTGCATTTTTGCTATCCTTATTTTTTTTGATGTGTTGGTTTTCTAAGTTTATTATTCTCCTTCATTGTCACCACATATTCCTTGAGACTTTGTTTGGGGTTGAAATTGTAGTTTTATGAGAAAAAAGGGTCGACATTTTGTTTAGACTTTTTTCCCTATATCATAATTTTGGATTTTACATTACACTAGGAAAGTTTGTAGTATGTGAACCTGCTCTGATCGAAATGAATAGGAATATTAGGATGTATGGTTTGAAGAGTGGTTAATATAGGCCATCTTATGTTTTGCCTGAATGGGATTCTTGAATTCATGGAATAGAGAGGTGTAATTCTTCTTGTCATTCTCTTTTGACTTTGTTTGGAATTTGTATCCTCTTGGATTTGGCATTTGAATCAAGTTAGTTGCTTGTTAATGAACCCATTGTTTTGATAAATGGAAGAATAAATTTTAGCTGGTTTTTCTTCAGGACCTCAAAAATTGGGAACCTGCCCGAATTGGTGCTTTATTGTTGTATACTTTTCTACTGGCGGTCACTTCTCATGGGATTTTTATGGCTGTCACGGTTCCACGGCTGGATCGTGGGGCCAAACAGAAGTTGACTGATGCATATATGGAGGCGTTGATTCCTGAACCATCACCAATTAATGTGAGGAAGTAAGGACATCATCAGCATAGTTTTGTTTTGATGCTGTTTCAATTTCTATTCATATCATTTAAATGTGGCGTTCTCTTTTACTGGCTTTATAAGAAATAATTTTTTTCTTTATTTTTTATTTTTGGGATAATTCAGTGGGGATGGGGTCTCTTAACCGTGATAGGAATGGAACTCAAGATGTCATGTCGTGGTGACCCACAAACCTACCACCTAGCCTTGAGCCCATTCCTAGAAAGAAATGGTTTTCCAACACATTGTATTCGTATATGCTAGAAAGAAATGCATTCTATAAGATGGCCATAATTATTTGACTTAAGTTGTTACTTATAACCGCGTCTTCTTGAAGTACATGTGCTTGCTTCTTGTTAATTTCCATGTGTGTGGGTTGGCCTATTTTCTCACTTACTAATATTCCAGACTGCTCATTGGAGATTAGTAGATAGGCATATATTGGCGGGCTATTTTAAAAATTTAGACTTTTAGTTATTCTCTGAGATCATTGTGTTTAAATGTTTTGAGGAAACTAATGATACAATGTTCACTTGAAGAAATCCAGAATCATGATTATTTAAGTCATAACAGCTTTTTTTATGGACAATAGTTGATGCTTTTGTGTTTTGTGGTACCCAAGATTCCATTGAATTAACACCTATGGGAGTTTTGTTTTGGACATACTAGGAGAAATGTTGGTTGTGTAAAATTCGAAAATAAATAGTAGGGAAAAGTTTATATAAGGTTGCAACCTTAAATTGTAGAATCACAGATGCACCTAAAAAATCTATCGGAAATGTTGTTTTAATGTTGAAGAAACCCTCTAATTGATCATCTCGACATTGAGATGTATGAATATGAAAAAAAAAAGTTTTTGAGTCCTAGAAATAGTGCATCTTGCAATACATTATCTAGACTGTCCATTTTCAAGATTTTCATATATTTATAGATCTACTTAACTTTGACCATTTTTGGAATTTAAAATTTTCTAATTAGGTATGAAAATAGGTTTTAAGATAATGCTAAGAATATTTTATAACAAAATTACATGTTATGATAAAATTTTAAGGTGCACCTTAATTGGATTATTTAAGGTTGCAACCTTATAGAAACCGCACCCTAATAGTATTAGGGAAATTATTGTTTAGAGTGAGCCAAAGTAGCTTAGGTTTAGGGGTGGCAATGGGTTGCAACCCAGACCCAACCCAAAAATGGGCTACCCTGGCCCGGACTTGGACCCGAATAGGTCCAGAGTCCCCAGACTCGGACCCGGACACAAATTGTTTATAAGGGACCCGGACTCGATCTAGCTCCAACCCAAAAATAAAAAACAGAGAGAGGAGAGAGAGAAAGCTTGAAACCCTAAAAAGAAGAGCGTACAGTTAGTTATGAGATGATTAATCCCCTCTGTTCATCTTATAAGAGAACAACAATGGGGATTAAACACATATTTCATATATATGTTAAATATATTGCATTATTTAAATGTTATAACTCTAAATGTCAATGTTGTTAGATTCGCTTCGAACCCTACTTTGGTTTGGTCTAAAAAAATGAAGCAATGCGATGCTTCGGCTGATGTGGGGGAAGACTTTGGTTCTTATTTATTTATTTAAAATACATAGAAATCTATTATTTAATTATAAAAATTTTAAAATAAAAAATTAATATTATATAAATTTATTTCTACACTTAATAATAAATATGATGGTTGAAATATTATTTTAGTACTATCATTTTTAAAGTTATATTTTAATCCTTAGAATTATCAGAATAATAATGAAAAGTACTTAGAATAGTGCTTACAAATTTTTTAAAAAATCAATCCTTTATTACTCCTTTTGACTGTTTTTGAGCCTGTCGGACTAGGTGAGGCAGTACTGCCTTGTTTGAATTCTCTCTATACGTGTTACAGTATGAAAGGGGGATTGTTTGTAATTCTCTTTATACGTGTCACAATATGAAGAGCTGGCATTTCCTTTTTGTTTTTTCTTGGTGTATGTGGCATTCACAAGTTTACATTGCTTATGGAAAGTTTTAAACTTTTAATAGTACTAACAAGTAAGTAATCTTCGGTTTGCCTCATTATTGAAGTAAGATCCGAAGACTTCGGGAGCTTCGCGAAGATAACAACAGTGTTAAATATAATTTAACGTAAGTAAATAAAATTCGCGTCGGGTCCACATTGACCTGGACCCTGACCCGAATACTATTCGGGTCCAAAACTTGCACACATATCCGGATCCAGATTAAGTCTACCCATCAAGGTCTCGGGTCTCTGAGTCCCGATTGCCACCCTTACTTAGGCCAAGCCCTAATCTCTTATTATGAGCTAAGACTGTGATCTTCTATCATGAAGTAACTTATCCCTAAGTTGTCAGTAATGAGATTCCCAGCCTTATTCATACTTGTCTTGTTCGATGATCAAAGCAGTTTTCCATTAACCATGGCCACTGTGCTACGAGCTCTTTCTCCTAAGAGGCTAAGCAATGGTCCTCTAGTGTTTATAAGTGTCATTACCTCTTATCGTTGGTTTTTATTCTTCATTAGAAAGGTTAACTAATGAAATGTGCCGTCTTTCTTGTCAGACGCCTAAAACGGGCAGTAGCCTCTTAAGGACTTGTGGCCAAACCTCTTGCAAATCTCCAATCTTCCACTTCCCATGGTAGCTGATTGCCTTCATTTCTCTTAGCAATCTTTTTTCTAGAGCCCAACCTTTAGAAGACCGCTTTCAGATGTTGAGACCAAAAGCCTTCTAGCCCTTCACGACCTTTTGCTAAACCTTTTTCTCTAAGTCTAATAAAATAATATGGACCCCCTCCCAAACCGGGATTTTCATTATGTCTTCTTTCTATTAAGCCTTCTCCCCGGTTCCTTCAAACCCTTCTCCTCCAAGCAAAGTTTGGATTGCTCCCATACTCCCCAGGATTCGAGTGTTTGGTTGGCCGATGATCTGCAACCCCCAACCATGCGGCAACAAGTTGTGAACGAGGACCAGCGAGCCCATAGTTGGTAGTTGCTATGCGCCGATTCTTATCAGAAATTGTCACAGTGTTCACCAATTCGTGATCTAGATCGACATTATCTAAAACAATGAAGGAACCAATTATCTAAATTTGAGAAAATTTAATAGGAAGTTTAGGAAAATAGAGATAGCTTGAGTGCTATTTCTCGACAAATAAAGTGGGATTCCAACATATCTAAGGACCTATGTAGGCCTATGACCAAAGACCAAATCATTGAAGTTGAGTAATAAAATTTTTGGGTCTTTAATTGTGGTGAGAGGCCACCTTTAGAGGAGAGATTCCTCAACTCTTTCTATGGAGACATTGATTGTACAATTCTGCCCTAGGTTTGGAACAATTTCCTAGGTTTGGAACAATTTCCTCCAAAGGTGAGAGTCCTGCTTCCTTTAATTTTTTGAGGGATTCCTTAAAACCCTAGCTTGTGGGTTCGAGGTTCTCCCCATTAAACTTGGGCACCTTCTCTAAATTACCCTCGTGTGGTACACCTCCATGTAAGATGCCCACCACCAAATCCTTGACCAATTCAAGCATTAGCATAAACAATAGTTCAAAATTTTCTGCCTCAGCTAATTTACCTCATTCCATACAACATCTATATACCCAAACCGTTAGCTCTTAAATTTGAGTTTAGACCACAAATTTGCCCTAATTCAGTCCTCAGATCCATCCCGTCATCCTCTTATCTTGCTGGATCAGCTAAATTTCAACAACTTTAACTACCGTCTAACTCTTTTATTTCAACTGTAAACTTCACCCTGACGTCACTAACCCATGGTAGTAAGTATGAATGGGTGACAAAAGGAGATAAGAGCTTGGGAAGCAAGTAGTAAAGTGATACATAATTTTCCAGAGCTGCATTTGTATTGATTTGGGGAATTTTAATTTGGGAAATGGCTGTAGATTTAAGTCTGATTCAGATAACTGGTCTAGAATTGTGGCTCTTCCCTTGAGCTTGGGGTTAGTGGAGCCTTTGGGTGTTACTTTGGAGGTTTTGGGTGACGTAACTAGATGCTGCCCCTTCAGATAGACGTAGCTGATGGCAAATTGAAGGACTTGATGCCATTGGTCAGAGAAGTTATAAGTTCAAAATATATACATTAGAACAAAGATAGGGTCGTCTAGGATTTGTAGGAGTGCGGTGTATTTGCAGTCAAATGCATGGATGAAGGTTTGTTGTAGCTGGTGGTTCCTAAGTTTTCCTAAGGATTTGGTTTAGAGACCAGAGACCCTACTTGCTGAACCTTTGGGTGTTATGTTGAGGATTTGGGTGGCTTATTGGATGTTGGCTCTCCAGATAGAAATGTAATTTCAAAATCTACACCTTAGCAATAGTGATATGAAAGATTAAATGGTCTGGGATTCGTAGGAAGCTGTTGTCTTCGTCAAATACATGGACAACGGTTTACTGTGTCTGGTGCTCAACAGCAAGCCTTTAAGTATGTTTTTTTTTGAAGAAGTGAAACCCTTGTTGTTGGTTCTTGTGATTCTCTATGAAGTAAAAGCCTTTCAATTTGATAGTTTTCAGACAATGGCATTCTTTCTATTTAACATGTAATTCCTATGTGTGCCTGAGAAGGATGATGATCATTTATTTTGCTTTACATGTTCTTGTTCTCATTCAAAGTTATGTTTTCATTAGCTATATTGATATCATCATTTTCACTCAAAAGAAAAAATTTAAATGGTTTCCTGGGTATGTTGAGGAAACAGGTCGTTATATTCATAGATTCCTTCATTATCTCTAGCGAAAGATTCCTACCTCTCAAAAAAAGGAAGAAAAGAAAATCTAATAATGGATTCTTTCTTTTTCCATCAAAACATCATGAATTGTCTTTTGTATCTAATCATCATATGGAGTATTGAAGCTTGGGATTTTGACTTCAATTATTTTCTTCAACAAATTATATGTAATCATTTCAATGAATGTCTTTGGTTCATGTATCCTATTATTACCTGTATTAGGTTTTCTTGAGCGCTTGTCTTTTAAGTTGCCTTCCAGGTTCTCATTGACTAAAACATGGAGTGGACTTATTCTCAGAATTGGTTTGATTGATTGCAATTTGGACGAATGGCTAATTGTTTAATGTGCTATTCTTTGGTTCGGCCAGCCAATTTTTACATCATCATCATCATGATTTGAGCCTTATCTCAACTATTTGGGGTCGGCTGTATGAATCATATTCCGCTATTGCACTCTATCAAGGACCATATCCTCAATCAGACCATAAGATACCGTATTTTTTCTCACTACTTCAGCCGTACCCTTTGGAGCCTTCCCTTGCCCTTTTAGAGTATTCCACTTGAATCAAATCACCCCTCGTAATTGTTGCTATTCTAGGGCGGTGCTGCACATGACCAAATCACCTAAATCTACTTTCTCTCATTTTATCGCTTATTAGAACTACCTCTAAGTACCCTCGAATGTATTCATTCTGAATTTTATCCTTCCTTGCCTTGCCACTTATCTATCTTAATGTCCTCATCCCATCTATACTTTCTATACTTAATCTATGGATATGTTGTTTATTGACCATCCAATTTTTATGTTGTTCATAAAAATAACGTTTGTATTGTTTTGTTTTCTTTGCATCTAGTTCTAATTTTGTAATCATATGCAGATTCAAAAAGGGTATGTGGAGGAAGACAATGCCAAAGGGCCTTCGAATGAAAAAATTCATTGAGGGCCCTGATGGGATACTTATTCATGATAACTCGTATGTGGGGGAGGATGCTTGGGAAGAAGATCCAGCTCCCAGTCAGGAAGATGTGGCAAAAATGATTGACCAAGAAACAAGTTTGGACCCAGAACAAAGAAAGGAATTAAAGGAAGAGTTAGGCATTAGAGGTTAGATTAACATATTTTCATTGTTATTTATTTCGCTTTTGATTTGAATTATTGTACTTATAGCTTAGTTAATTATCGACAATTGAAAACTTCGACTTGGGTAGGGCTTCAGCCCATGTCATTGGTCGGATTCAGTTGAGTCTCAACAAGTGTTGGCTTTCTCTGTTAGAAAAATAACATAGTAACTTGGAGAACTGGTGAGATTCTGTCTGTTCCTGAGGTTTTTCAACACTAATCAACACCTAGGGTCCGAGAAACTTGGGTAAGTTATAATCGCACTCGTCATGTTTTTAAACATTGGTTATTGATTTTGCACTATTGTTCTTTGTTAGTTTCTAAAGTAGAAGGCTGATATTGATTATAATGTGTACATGTGTAGACACACACGTGCAATTGCCACTGTACCTGTATACATACTGATTATGTATAATTTAAGCACATGCATATAGTTTCATTGTGCATGTCGATATGTGTATGGATATCTTGCATGACCTTGCTTTACTGTGTCCTTGATATAAACACCATTCAACTAGTGCAGTTTATTGCTTTATATATAGGCAACTTTCTTAAGTTAGATAGAATGTGCCTCGCATGTTTTAACTCATGCACTTTTTTTATAGGTAAAAGTGATGTTGTTAAAAGGGTGAGGCTTGTATAAGGTGCGCTCCTTATACTATACAAGCGCACCTCTAAATTTTGCTAGAAATTGTAGTTTCGGTGTCGGAAACTTTACGATGACTTGAAAATCCATGTTTAACCGTAATTATGAAATTGAAAATTCTATAAACTGTGCCGATCTAGTAGATTGATAAACACTTGAAAATTGACGGTCCAGATAACTTGTTACAAGATGCACTATTTTTAGGCCTTGAAATTCATTTTTTTCTTTATATCCAAATATATTGAGGTCGAGATAATCAATTAGTAGATTTTCCAACCATGTAAACTCTTTTTTACTAGATTTTTTAGGTGCACCTTACTTCTGGAGTATAAGGTTGCAGCCTCATTTAAACTTTTTCCTTGTTAAAACTTTGTTGCTAAAGCAATATTCATCGTCATATCCTTAGTTTAAACTCGTGTGTGCTTTCAAAAGTGAAAGAGGATCCCATGAAAATTCTTAACATGAGCTTTCTGTTTATGTATAAATGTTTTATAGTTCAAATATGAACTTCTCAATGTAAGCTAATAAGTTGCTTAACACAAAGGGAATTTGACGTTCCAATACGAGAGCATAATGTTGCAAAACGCAAATGGAATTTGAGGTTCCAATATGAGAGAAAAGATTTGAATGCTTGTACTTCATTATGAGAAGGTGATGTCCGCAACCATTGGGCCTGTCATTATACAAAACATTAAATGCATTATTGGGGCTTGTATTGTAGAACTAAATTAAAAATGGTCCTTAAAAATATGGGATGATTTGGTCATTGAATAGTAGGGGCTTTACTGTTTTTTGGTACTTAAAATTTTTTATTCTTTGTAGTCCCCTCTATGTAATAGAATTTCTAAAGTACATGAGAGTGAAACCTAGGGATGAAAACACATAAACCTTACAATATTCTTAAATAATCATGACAAAAACCGCGTTTAAAAAATTAAGTCTACAATTGATTTTTGGTCGGTCAGACCTTCAGTAACCAAATAAATTTCCATTTCCACAAAGGGGGCCACAAGGGGTTAAAATTTTGGCCGTGTCCCCCTTTCAAGATATTTTGAGAATTTTCTAAAGCTATTTAAATGTTTCGAAAGAATTTTCAAAAGCATTTTTTGAAGGATATCCCCCCTAAGTGCAATAGGTAAAACTGCTTAGTCATTTTAGTCTCATGGGCTTCAAGGTAATTGGTTTTCAACTTTTGATGGGGTGACCTCAAGGTTCCTCCATTGTGCAACTCTTCAACTTTACTTTTGCATACCACTATAGTGTACCAGTTTGACTTGTATTACGCCTTTGTTCATGAGTAAACACATTACGATATTTTCATGCACAACCTATGTGGTTCACAAATTGACCATTTCCCATTGATATAGGAAAATAGTGGAATAATGATGGGCAAAACATTTGGTATATGTCCAAGGGCGTATGTGAACGATATTTGCTCTCCCCTGTATTGGGAAGCTTAGGGACATTATAGAAAGCTGAGCTCTCCCTTTATCTCTCATAAACAGCATAGATTGCAGTCCCCCTTCCTCCAAAATACAGCTGATTGAGCTCTCCCTTTGTCTCTAATACAGGAGCCTCCCCCTCCCTCGCTAATACAAGGGCCTATTGAGCTCACCTTTCTGTCTCAAAAGCACAAAAGAGAGCCGATCTCTCCCTTCCTCTCCCTAAGAAAGGATAGATTGACCCTCCCCCTCTCTTTAAAATAAGAAAGATTGAACTCTCCCTTTGTTTCTCTAATTTAGAGCATATTGAGCTCAAGGTTTCAAAAAACGCTAGGCGGCCTGCCTGGCGCCAAGAACCTCGGGTGCCCTACGGTTCAAATTCTTAGTCTTTTTTATATATTTGCTATCCAAATGCACATATATGCATATATTTGTGTCAAAATTTGTAATTTATTCCATTTGAAATTGAAAATATCGCAAGTTCGCAACATACGTTTTTATATACTGACATATCACATGTCTCAGCCTCTCAGGTAATCAGGTTGAGAATAAACTTATTCAAAATTTCGAACCATACAAAACATTTAAAAGTCTAATAGGCTAGGTCTGTAACTCTCATATTCTCCATATTCCATATCCATAAAATAAACCATAATACCATCCAAGTCTCCAACTGTCCAAGTCATCAACAAACTGACTTCCAAAACTATAAAAAATTCAGTAAACCACACAACGAAATAGTCCAAAAAGGCAAAAAAATTGCAAATCACATAACTAAATAAAAATCGTTCAAACTCCAAATGTCTAAAGCCCAAACCAAAATGGTGCAATAAAGTATTAAAGTTACTTCAAAAGCAGAGATAAGACAATCAGGACATCAATAAGAATCAGAATCATCATCTTCATTGCTTTCATCTGCATTAGAATTGAGGCCGTCATCATCAGAATCATCACCCTCTTCAACATATTCTTCTGAATCTGCCTCCTCTTCCTCTATCTCCCTCCTTGAAGTACCAACAGAAGAAGTTGCTCGAGTGGCCCTCCTAGGATCAGAAGCTTGCTTCCTCGACCATTTTCAATGTCAAACCCTCCCCAGGGAAGACCTCCTCAGTACCAAGATCATTAACTAGCCAATCTGAAGCATTCTCCATGTCCTTCTAAGAGATAGGGTCCTTCATAGGTTGGTTTTTCTTCTCCTTGAGTCTTTGATTCTCTCAAACAAAAACCGAGTCATTGAGCCTCTTTTGCTCAAGCCTATTTCTTCTCTTTGTATGCACCTATAAGGAAAAATAATGCATAAGTAACTACTATAGGTCTATGATCTTCTTACCTTTTATGAATCTATATTACAAAATGAACTTATAAACAAAAAAAACATATAAAATTGTAAAATAATAAAATAGTAAAATACCATCTCAAATGAACTCCAATTGCGCTCACAACCAGACGAGGTAGTTGTCAAACTCAAGATCCACATAGCCATCTTCTGGAGGTTTGGAGCGCTACTCTCATGTTGTTTCCACCATTGGGCTGCAATATGTGGGCAGCCTTTATAATTAATTTAGGTATTTAACATTATCAGAACTTGAAAGAAAATTATAAATTTATATTTTATAAAACAAAGTTACATAAGTCAAAAGAATATTACCTGGTTCGTCTTTGTTTCTCTGCCTTAATGCCATATTTTTCCCAAACGACATCAAAGAATACTTGTACGAAATTAGCTCTTTAGTTGATATCTTATCTTGGATATTTGGATCAGGAACTAATTTCTCAAGGCATTCATTAAAGCCATCCATGATTACCCCTTTTGACTCAATATCTGCATCTGCATAAAAGAATTTGGGGTTCAAGTAATACCCCACTGCATGCAATGGTCTATGGAGTTTCCTATCCCATTTGTCATCTATAATCTCCCAAATTGGGGCATACTTCGCTGCATCATTGCTCAAATTCTCTGCAATCTCATTCTTAGCCCTTTCCATTGCATCATATATAAATCCCATGGAGGGCTTATCAACATCAACCAAGCGCAAGATCTTCATCAAGGGAATAACTACTAATATCACATGCTTCACCCCCAGTGTTTTAAAATGCGGGATGCGGCCCTGATGTGGTGGGGGGCCGATGCGGCCCGGATGCAGGTGCATCGCGATGATGTGGTCAATAAATGTAAAAAAATTCTAAAATTTTTTAAAAAAATAAGTTAACGCATAGGAAAAAATATGAAAATAAGTTAATGCATAGGAAAAAATATGAAGGTGATATATGTGATAGTAGGTATTTTAGTTTAATGATGAACTTCAAAACTATTAGCTGTTGGAGATTCTGTATCTAGTTATCCACCCATATAAGTATTTCGACAGAGTAAGCATATCACACAATTTCTATCTTTGGGATTTTTTAGTTTAGCATATTTCCTAGCCAGATCCTTATTACTAGAAGATTGGGAAGAAGACATTGCCCAAAAAATATGTATAATAGTAATATTGTACAAGAAGGAAAAAAAATTTACCGACTCTGTGAAGTACTGCTCGATTTCTTTACGACCTCTAAAACCCCCGATTTCTTATCATAAATTCACCTTAACATCTCCAAATCAACAATCAAACGCATCCAATGAACATTCAAGTATCAAACAACCGCCAAATCAAAGATTTCGATGAAAAAAAAAATTTCGCCTAAATTTTTTTTTACCTCAATTTGATGTAAAAAAAGCCACAAAAGTGGCTGAAAATCTTTGTTTAGGGCCCCTAATACCCCCCCAAACAGTTTCTCTAACATTTGGATGGTCAAAAAGACCATTTTGCCCCTCCCCGAGGGGCAAAACAGGAAAACATTCGGCAGACATTGTAGCAGTGGGATGCGGTCCTGATGCGGCGCATATGCGGCCACAT